TACAACAGTTATACAATAAAGCAAAAGATGTACTTGTTGAATAATTTTACATGTAAATCGCAAAGATTTCGCAAAACTCAGAGTCGAAACGTTTGCGATTTACACATAAAATTATTTAACAAATACATCTTTTACTTTATTGTATCATTGTTGTATTATTTCACTCACCAATAACTGCGGCAATTCACAGAAGCAATTTATTATTTACTATTTGATAATAAAAAGAGTCACAGATAACAGACAAATAGGCAGACTAAGCAAGTAACATAAAAAGAGTTCGAATATGTGCATGCGTGTGTCAGCTGATCACAGCGGGTACCTCGCGTAAATACCCGCGTGTAATGATGAGTTGCGCCGGCCCTGTTTATCTTCCATATTCGCCTTGTGATCGCTAACTATTTCTCTTTATAACTTGAAAACTAAGCTCTGCACAAATTTTTGCCAAAGGAAAAATCGTCTCAAAATATCATCAGGAGTACGTATATTTAAGGACGCTATACTTATTCTGAATCACCCTGTATATGTGTATATACAGTCAACTTAAGGCGGATTTGACTCGGTAGACAGAGGAGTATTGTGCAGGATAGAGATTGAGGGAACGAGGTATTAGGGAGGGATTGATGAGGAGAGTGGAGAGACTGATGAGGGAAATAAAGAATAGAGTCAGAGTGGGAGAGGAGATCGGGGAGAGCTTCTGTGAGGGGGGGTAAGGCAAGGGTGTCTATTGAGCCCACTGCAGGTGTTTAATGTGTTAATGGCGGACCTGGAAAAGGTAGATAGGAAGAGGGGGGGAATAAAATTGGGGGAGGGAAAAGTGTATACTCTAGCATACGCGGATGCTGTACGTGATAATGATGGCAGAGGAGGAAGACGGGATGAGGAGTATGATGGAGAGGTTGGAGAGATATTTGGACGGGAAAAGGTTAGAGCTAAATACGAATAAGACGAAGATTATGAGTTTAGATCGGAGAGAGGAAAGGTGGGGAAAAAGGAATTGGAGATAGAAAGGAAAAGCGATAGAGGAAGTAAAGGAATCTTCCGGTATCTAGGGTATACATTGCAAAGAAATGGGAGATAAGGAGCACATATAAGGGACAGGATAAGGAAAGCAGCAACGATAATGAGGCAAGTGTGGGATAAGGAAAAAAGATATGGAGGGGACTGGGAAGAATATGGCTATTCGACAGACTAATTTGGAGTATTGGGGTATGGGGTGGAAATACGGGGTTGAGAAGAGAGGAAGGAAATAGAGAAAATGTAAGAAAGATATTTGAGATGGGTTTTGGAGGTAGAAAGTAGGACTCCAGAGTATCTGGTAAGAGAGGAGCTACAAAGGAAAAAAATGTTAGGTAGAACGAGTAGAAGGACCTGGAAATTTGAGAAAAGATTAAGGAAGGGAGGAGGCAACGAATTAGCAAGAAGGTGTGTTGAAAAGATGAGGGATAGGATCAGCAAGGGGAGAGGGTGGTCAATTGGGAGAGAGAAAGGAAAAACTTTGAAAAAAGGGCATAAAATAGAGGAAGCGAAAGAAAGAGTAAGGAATGAGAGGGTTTGTTTGAGGAAATAGAAAGTAGAAAAAAGGAAAGACAAAGGAAGAAAAGATAGGAGAAGATAGAGAACTCAAGATACAATAGGTGGTAAAAGAGTAAGGGATTCCGAATAGTTAAAGAAAGGATGAAGGGAGAATAGGTAAATGAAAGTCGCCAGATTTAGGCTGAGGAATAAAATGAGGGAGTGCAGATATTGGGAGGAGGAGGAAAGAAAAGAGTGCAGGATGTGTGGAGGGCAGAGAGAGACATGGGAGCATGTATGGGAGGAATGTAGGAGATGGGAAGAGACCAAAGAGGAAACGAGTAGTTGGCAGGAAGTGATAGGAAGGACTTTTAATCAGACAATTAGAAGCGATGCTCACAAGTTACGGAACTGCTACCCATTGTCATTGCAGAATCATATATAGAACGAGCGAAGGTAAATAACTAAATTGCGTTTTTTAATGTAAGAGTTTTTGTAAAAGTTTTGTATCGCTGAGGAAGGCCCGAAAAGGGCAGAAACGTCCGTGTTATCAATGTATTAGGAATTTTATTTTTGACAAATTAAATTAACCACGCACCAATTACCGCGTTGTGACTCTGATCGCCTTTCCTAATTGCTAATGATAGGAAGGATACTGGGAGAAGAGATAAGGGGGAACGGTGGATGAGGGAGATAGAAAGGGAAAGAGGGAAAGAAGGGAAACGGGTAAATAAATACGAGGGGGAAAGAAGGAAAAAGTGAAAAAAGATGTGGAGAGAGAGAAAGCGGAGTATGTGTGTGGTGTGTGAAAACGAGAGAGAAAGGGAGGGAGGGAGATAGAGAGAGAGAGCAAACGTGAGAGTGAGACAGAAAATGGAGGTAAATAGTGGAGATGATAAAGAGTAAGAGGGAAGGGGGTGAGGCGCAAAAGAGAAAGAAATATTTATTGATAAAAAGGCAAGAGAAAACGGAAGTTCCATCGAGAGGGAGAAAGGCGTTAGCGTGATAGATTAAGATAGAATAAGTTGTTTTTTAGGATAAATTAGAATAAGATACACACTGTATATATATACAGGGTGGACCATTTTAATCCATCCAGTCGAATATCTCGAAAAATAATCACACTAGGAAAAAATGTTTCAGACAAAAGTTTTGGAACTTCGAAGGGGACATAAGATGATAATATTGGTTTGACCCTGAGTGGCGTCGTCAAGGTCAGGACAAGGTCACTTTAAATTTTTTTAATGGAACCCCCTATTTTTCGTTACATATTCTTGTAGCTTA